AAGATTGGAAGTATTTCCTGATGAGGGTATTTGGGGTGGGGAGGCATTATAGGCAAACATATATGCATAGATGGAAAACAACATGATGGAGTTTTCAAGGAAGGAAGAGGAAACAATCCTGCTTGATGCGTTGAATATAAAGCACAAATCAGTCAACAAAGGAGGACGTTACAGGGGACTTGGTGTGAATTGGTAGTGTTTGGGTTTTACCAGGTAGTTGGGAGGGGTCCACTGAAGGATTTTAACAGGAACATACTGAGTTTAGATTTCTGTTTTGGAAAGGGCACTCTGACACCAGTGTGGAGAATGGATTTCAACCAGGGCTTTTCATTTTTTCTTCATTTGCAGGTGAAAAATGCTACAACAAAATAGAACAGTTTAAAAATCAATAAATGGCACAATTTAAAATGTCTGAAAGGAACTCTGGCTCCTTAATATAGCATTCTGCAGAAGTTGAAAGTGACCCTAATCTCATAAATATAGTATTTTTAGCATTTGTAGGTACGGAAAGAGATGGCTCATTATTCAACTTAAGACATTACTAAGAAGAGTGATATCCAGGTTTATCCTGAAAATTTCCCTCTTCTCCTCAAAAAGAAGTGATTAATTTCATATTTTTCCTCTCATCTTTATGTTTTCTGGAACTGATAATAAATTTTAGTAAATAGTTTGATGAGTTGTCATTGGCTTCTGTTTCTGAGAAAACTGCAGAAACTTAATATTTCCTGAATGGCATCCATTACCCCCACTTTGAGTTTTGTTGAGAGTGTTGAGTAGGTTGGGATCCTTTAAGAAATGAAACTGGCAGATTATTGAGGTTTAAGAATCCAGGTTTTGGGGGACTTTTGTTGTGAGGAAGGTTAGCCTTGAGCTAACATCTGCTGCCAATCCTCCTCTTTTTGCTGAGGAAGATTGACCGTGAGCTAACATCTGTGCCCATCTTCCTCTACTTTATATGTGGGACTCCTGCCACAGCATGGCTTGATAAATGGTGCTTAGGTCTGCTCCTGGGCTCTGAACTGGTGAACCCTGGGCCACTGAAGCAGAATGTTCGACCTTAACTGCTACACTCCCAGGCTGGCCCCCAAGGATCCAGGTTTTTTGTAACCATCATTATAAAAATTGATTCAGTCGTGGTTCATCAATGTATGCTAAAATGACCAGGTGAAGGCTATTAGAGAAAATGATATTTATATGGTCTCAAAGTATTCCCCAAATATTACTTACTAGTTACAAAAGCAATGTGATACCTTTACATTTATAACAGAGAAATCTGGTGATCAAACTGAATACCACCAATAGCAGGAAAAACTGACAATACCTCCTCCTAATGCAATGAACTAAGGATACGATGTCACCCATACATAGATTATATAGTAAATGCTGTTTTTGTATCAGTGTTAAATTTGTTGGATTGGTTAATTGCATTGTGGTTATATGGGTGGAAGTTACTGTTCTTTGGAAAAACATTTGGTGAAACATCATGTTGTACACTCTAAATATTTTACAGTTTTATTTGTCAATTATACCTCAATAAAGATGAAAAAACATTATTTGGTGAATTCTTAGGAGAATTATTTAAGGATAAAGTGTCATGATGTCTGCTACTTACTCTTGAATGATTCAGAAAAAAGAGAATACAACAGAGAGAGAGAGTGAAGGAAGAAAGGAAGGAGAGAGAAGAGAGAATAAAAACAAAAAGCAAACATCAAAATGTTTATGTTAGTTCTAGGTAAAAAACATATGAGCTTGTACCACTCTTTCAAGTTTTTTGTAAGTTTTTCCAAAAAAATTGGAGGTATAAGGGATTCCAGGTGTTCAGGCTGAAACTGAGGCTCTTGAGTATTGTCCAAAGTTATTCATTTCATATGTTATTTTGGATCAACCCTTCCCAACAGTTTCAAGGTTTAATACATTTACTTTATTTTATACCAGCCTGTTTTAAATATTCAAACTTAGAACCACTGGTTTATGGTAGGCAAAACACTTAGGACTATTTTCAGTTATATGGTGATTGGAAAGGAAAAAATTGTCAACAAAGAAAATGTTCTTCATAATAAAGTTTAAAAAACCCATATCTGCCATTTTTTAGCTATGAGCCCTTGGACAACTCATTCAAATCTCGGCCTCTCGATGTCTTCATCATGAAATAGGAATAGTAAAGATACTACCTCATAGGGTTGTGGGGAAGATTAAGTTAGATAATCCATGTAAAGTGCATAGCAGATTCTGAAACATAGTAAACAACCCAAATTAAGACAGCCCATGGCAGAAAAAAATGTATCTCTGGACAAAAGTCATCCTTCTGCTTTCTTCACTGTTCAGAATAAATCTGTAATACCCATCCCCTAAAAAATAAATAAATAAATTACAAATTGTTTTAAAATTGCAAAGACCCAAATAAATATATCATATAGCGTAAGGATGAATATATACTTTAAAATTACATATGATTATGTGGTTATATCGTGTAGATTGCAAAAACTTTAGATTCCTAGAATTAAAGGTTAATTTCTCTGTATTTGTCATTTGCTTGCAGTGTTTCTACATCATATAAACAAAGAAGGTAGAAGGATATGAATCTAGATGGAGGTTTCCCTGAAAAGAGCTTTTACAATTTCTAAAGAGAATTTTGAACTCTGCCTTAATCTCTGATTCACGTGTGTTCTAAAATTAAGCCTATTCCTCTGGACCTGGAAATCCATTTGGGAAAAAAACATTAACCCATTTGCTTTAAGCATGTAGGAAGGAAAGCAGGCATCTTATTCCTCTATTTCACTCCATAAAATGTAGGGATAGTCTTTGCCCGTTCTAATCAGACACTCACTTTTTTCCTAATTTAACCCTGCGGTAAACTTAAATACTGAACTTTTGGGGTTTAGCTCTGCTTCTGCCAGTGTTCATCCTTTGGGCATCTCCTTATCTTGTTCCATCTGCAGCAGATCTAAGGGGAGATAGTTTCCCTTTAAGAAACAAAGGTGAGCTGTGACTCGCCTCAGGTAAAAGCCTGAACAAGGCTTTTTGCAGTTGATAGAAGGGATGCCAAAGAATAAAATGAAAAGCCTCTGCCATCCACCTAGTGCCTACACTCCCTGGAGCTGACAAAAGAACTCAGCACAGAGCTGAAGAGTCCACAGGACACTACATTAGTGATAAAGCTGATTATAAATAATAATGACCTTAGTGGATGATGAGAAATGCAGTAAACTTTTTCTGAGCCAGACGGGATGATGTAGGGGATACAATATAAATGCATAAAGTCTGTAAGGAAAGCAGATGCTGAGAGATTTTATTTCTCTCCCCAATAATTTAAACGGACAATGAATTTAGTAGGTGCTCAATAAATTTTTGTTGCACAAGTAAATAAAAGAGGTCTAACAACTGAGTTCCTAATGAAAGCCCATGAATTGAAGCATATTTGCATTTAATCTCAACTCTTTTAAAACTATAGATTTCAGGAGAAGATCAGATTCCTGATATGGGAGCATACTAAAGGATACCCATTTGTTTAGGGACAATCACTGAGATAGAAAGAAAATACGTATATGGAATTACTTGCAGCTCAACTTGTCAAAAAGTCATCTTGATTGGTTCCCATGGTGGGGAGGCGGGATGGAGAGGATAACAGAGATTGGATTGAGATTAATTCTTCTTGGTTATATTTGGTTTTGTGAGAAGCAGGAGAGAGAGCAGAGGGCCATGTTGGGTACTTGTTCTAACTTTTTTTTTTTTTTTTTTTGGTGAGCAAGATTGGCCCTGAGTTAACATCTCTTGACAGTCTCCCTCTTTTTGTTTGAGAAAGATTATCCCTGAGCTAAAATCTGTGCCAGTCTTCCTCTATTTTGTATATGGGACGCTGCCACAGCATGGCTTGATGAGGGATGTGTAGGTCCATGCCCAGGATCTGAACCTGTGAACCCCAGGCCACTGGAGCCGAGCGCACAAACTTAACCACTACACGACTGGGCTAGCCCCCCGACTTGAATTTTCTACTTAGTGATTATGCCACTAGCCATTTATTCTAAGGTCCATGTTTGTTTGTACTGATAGACTTGGAATTACAGAACTTTCTGGGCTTTTGAACTAGCTTGTTGTAGTGAATGTGGTAATTTTGTGAAAGCATACTTAAAAGTCTAAAGTAACTTCCAAAGCAAAACAGTCAGTTTAGTATTGCTACTGTAGCTATATTTAGAGCAACACCATTTCAACTTGGTCAGTTTTTAATCTCAGCTCTGAATTCTTAAGAATTTTATGAGGACCCCTTCGTGCTTCCTGTGAATCAGGGTTTCTCATATGTGGCACTACTGATATGTTGGGACAGATAATTTTTGGGGAGGGGCTGTCCTGTGCATTGTAGGATATTTAGCACTATCACTGGCCTATACCCACTAGATACCAAAGCACCCCCATCCCTAATGGAATCAAAAACCAGTCTTTCAAAACTCTCTGTTTTTGTTGAAATAAAATCAGAATCTTCTGAGAAAAAGGATTTTTGTTCTCTTTTCAGATAATAAGAAAATTGCTATGTGTTCTTTAGCCAATATAATAAGGATAAATATCAGTTCTACCCCAAAAAAGGAAATGAGAAATACCACTTAGAAAACAGTTTGTCTACAGTTTCTCCTTCTCCCTCCCTCTCTCTTTCTTTCTCAAAACATGTGTACACACGCCTTAAATTAAAAGCTATTTTCTGCTAATGGTGACTCCAAATTTCTGAGCAGTTAGTGGTAGATAAATATTGAGGCCTATTGTATTTTTTTCTAGCTTATCGGTCAACTTGATGTCATTGTGATATAATTTTCAAAATGGGCTATTTTCTCTACAGACAGTTATAATTTTGTGACCATGGTCTCAATGCATCATTGCTGCAGTAATCAGATTACTTCCTGAAAAATGAATATGGCCACACACTTTCTCATGTGGATCCATACTTTTGGCTTGCTTCTTGATTATTTTCTTACTGGCTACATTGCTTTTGGTTGGAAAAGGAAGTCCAGGCAAACTGCTTAGATTATCATTCCAGTGGGTGCCCTGGGCAGCGATTCCTGAACCATCCATTCCTTTGAAATTTTGTTCTCAACTGGAGAAATGTCACAGTTCTCTCAGCTTTTAACTCTTTTAGTGAGAGAGGAAAGGGATAGGAAATATGAACACTTTCTAGAAGAAGCAATGAGCAATTGTATGCACATCAGTGACTTACTGCTGAAGATTCCAAAGTATTAAAAAATATTGATTAAGTCTCAACCTCTTGGGGAAATTGTTGCCATAACTTTCATTTTGCCCTTAGATTTTCTGAAGCTGAGGGCTGTATTTAACTTGCTGAATCTTGTATTATGGCCAGAAAGAGATCTCAGGTCTCCATTCCCCAGGTTCTTATTAGACTTGACAACAGTGTTGCTAAAATTGCAGACTCTTCAGAGTCCCAAAGAGATGCAGTTTCTTGCAATTTCCATGTGAAGTCTAAAACAATCTCTGTATAGATTTTGACTTCCGAAATATATTCTGGGGTAATATATCAGGTTCTACTGTCTTTGTGAAGACAATTTCTTTTGTTAGCATTTACTAATTATTTTGGTCTTTTTCTCCCTCTCTTTGCTATATTTCTTTTGACATTGTTGGCTTTGACCTTAAAAGAAAAAGAAATCAGACATTTTCCAGATTTAAGCTTTTCTTATAAACCACCTCATGTTTTAAATGTTATGTCTTGGGGGAGAAACCTATGAGGAATTGATGGAAGTTAAAAATTTTTAGTTAATAATTATCACCTACCATTAGAAACAAGTGCAAATCACATGATGTCAAAGTGAATCTATCACGTACCATAATCAGAGATAAATCAAAGCAATTACCAGGCAAACAGGGATTGAATAGAACTTAAAAACCAATTAAACTATTTATTTCGACTGTACCACTGAATAAACAGTTTAGTATTTTAATTTGCTCCTCTTTCTATTTGCTTTAGCAATGTGTTTGCTAATATAACTGAGATGCACAATTGCTATTTAATTAACCTATTTTTGTCAGCACCTCACAAGTTTCATGAAGTAGATGTGCCAAAGTCTCAAATATAATGAGCCAAATAAAAATAACAAACCTGAAATTTGTGCCATTTTACAAATGATGCCAAATTGCAACAATACCCAAAGAAGCAAAGAAACGGTTTACCTTATAGAAATTGGATTTAAAATACTTGAAAAAACATGTTGAACTAAAACTTGGGTAACCAAAATTACCCAGAAGTTTAGTAACATTTTTAAAAAGTTTAATTACACTGTTTTATTATCCCCTACTTTGTGTATTTTTGCTCTTAAGTATTGGTAATAAATCTACTTGAGGCCTTGTATCTGGTTTGGAATAACTGAGTTGGTAATAGACACAAGAAGGTCTGGTAGCATGCATCTTTTACAAAATCCTGTGTCTTTGGGTGAACTACTTTTCGAGTTACTGAGTTGGGCACCATGAAAGTGTCAATCCATTTTCCTTTTATTCCCTAAGACCAGTATCAAAACCCTAAGATACTTTGGATTGTCTTGACCTTGATGACACACATTTTTCCACAAAAAATGACATAACCCAGAATGTGAAAAGAAGCCTCACGTTTCTCTACCTTTGGATGGTAGGAGTATATGAAAGTAAGATGGGAAAAAAAATGTTTTCAATTAAAAAATAGAAATTAAGATGGAATAATTCAGTTTAAATATAAAAAGACCCTTACCCCACACATCACTGTACCCTGGTGATTGGCACCATGAAGACAACCACTCTGACTGGACTTCTGGCTCTTCATCCAGATGTTTTGCTCTCAGACATAGTTAGTGTGGAATTAGATAAAACCATTTTCTTCCTAACCTGTCTTTTTTTCACTATCACACATATATAATTTACTCACACTTACTGATCACAATACCTCCAGTTCTCTAAAACAGCTGCTTATTAGCCCATTTATGATGGGACACTCACATGTAACTGTCCCTCTAAATTTGGGACAGTTAAAAAAAATGCATAGCTTTATTTCATTCCCATTCCTCTGGCTGCTGTTATGAAGTGTAAGCACCCTTCTAATGGAGGGCCACTTTCTAGCTCTTAGAACAAATAGTAGAATGCCATGTCTGCGAGAGTCCTCAGAAATCTGGACCAAGGTCCTGTTATACAGATAAGAAATCCGGTCACTTGATTTTTACAGCAAGGTGAAGGTTAGGACTCAGACTTTCTGGCTCCCTAAATTTCCTCCCATCTTTATCACACAGGCTTATTGACTACGGCTGCCATGTGTGAAGGAACTTTAAATCATCACAAGGGTACCTTAATCGCAGCCTTTTCATGAGTGACGCAAGAGATGACTCTCCTTTCTCTGAAAAGGAATGTGTTACATCCTTAACCCAGACTTGCTTAACTGAGGTCAAATTTACATAAACAAATGTCTTCCTGGGCTAGCAGTGAGCGTGTATGGGCAGAGGCTGGAGTGACACCATTTTGGTAAAGTGCGGAATACACGCTCTGTTTAAAAGTGTTCACATTCAAATTCTAAAATCTCTCTCTCAAACCAAACATGTCCACAGGCTACTAGTTTGCAACTCCTACTGCAGCACCATGCAGGCAGAGAAAATAAGAGAGTGCTTTCACTAATGCCAGCAGAATCAACATCACAGTTCCTTTTAGAATACTTGGTGTCCCGAGTATCCGGCCAAACCCTCTGCTTTGAATGCCCTGGACTTCCAGTACTCAAGAAGAAGCATGTCTCTGGGGATGTAAATCGCCCCCATAGAGACCAGCTTTAGTCCTACCAGTCTCCACCCCAAAGACTAGACCTGCAAAGAATATACATATGCACATCTCATAAAATCCATAGGAGAAATGATGCTACAGCCTGTAACCTTCCTTCAGAAAAAACCCTAACAGACAAACCAAATCACAGGGCAAACCCACCATACGTACCGAACAAGCAGTGTAATTATATTCTATAGTTGAGGAATTACATAAATTGCCCATTGGGAAGGAAGCCTTAATCTCTACTCCTCCCTTGAAATCTATAAACAGCTGTGCGAGTCTCCGTGCATTTTTGAAAGGGTGAACACATTTGATCGGGGAACCAACTTGATTTCCTAATCAGGTTCGATATGAGCAGAGCCAGTTAGAGATGTGTGTGATTCTCTCAGTGTACGTCTTTGATTCATGCGCTAATTATGTCGATCCTTTGGGGAACACAACCACAAAGCTGGGTCCTCCTTGATTAATGCTGGCTGAGAGCCATGCAGTGCGCAGCGGAGAGCAGTTCTGCATCTCTAGTCCCAGCTGAGAATATGGTCCCATTATCTCCCAGCTGCCTAAGCAATCCATAAGGGCCTGTTCTGCGTGGATGAACAGTGTAGTGGAAGCAGGGACTTGCTGAGAGCTGAAATCTCTGTTTGATTTGCTGTAACATGTAAAGCGAAACTGGGACATTTTACTTTACAGTCTGTAAGTACCAGGTTTTCTTCCCCCTCTTTCTCCCTCCAGCTCCATGTGAATGTGACTTTGCAAGCTGCATTTGATTTTCTGTTCCTTCGCTCTTTGTTGAACCAAGCTGGTGAGATAGTGTAATCTGTTTAGAGCTTGCTGCTTCTGTCAGATCTCTTTCATAATTGATTCATACAAGGAAATAAGAGACCTTTCAGAATGCTTTTATAGAAGTTAAAAATGATTGGCTTTGTTTTTAATTTGGAAGCCTGGGTGCATTGTTTGTGGTGCTCAGGATGCTTAGAGCATGTATTTATCTTCGTCTGTATCTCTGGCTATTGCAAGAAAAATGTAAGTAAAAGTAATGTGTATGTAAAGAGATCATTTTACTTGCAGTCCCATATAAAAGAAGCATGTGTCAGTATTCCGAGAATTTATTTAAGATAGTTTATTTTGTAGCTCTCTACTGCCACTAAGAAATGCAGAAACAGGAAAGTTTCTCTTGTTTTTTTAGGGGCATGCTGTTTAGAAACTTTACTGGGGGTCAGGGGGTGGGCAACTATTAGGAATATTTGAAAATATAAACCGTATATCTCCTTTTTCATTCCAAGGGACAGTTTAAAAATAAGAGTCTATGTTTAGCTTATTTTTGCTTTTAATGTACCACTTTTATGAAGTGATGTAAATTTAAGGAAGCAAAAAATATCACTTCAAATCTGAGTTCATTTATCTTTCATGTGTCTCCAAATGCAATCTACCAAGTAAATGTTTGTTATCCATGCAAGATGAATTGATCATAAAAATAATATCAGGAATTAATATTGTTAATAATGTTTGCCTGGTGACTTTCAAATGATCAATGGCTTAGTGAAATTAAAGATTGTTATCACTGTGGAAAGGGATATGTGGATTTTTTTGTCCGAGTTTCCTTAGCCTACATATAAATCACAATTTTATTCCTGGACTGAAAGTAGAACAACTGAGCTGTTATAAGAATATAACTTGGATATAAGAGGCTTGAACCACTTGAACCAGTGGCCAGAGCTGATGTGGACCAAGGGGAACTTGAAATCATTCATACCTGAAAAGGGGAATTGGAGTGCCCTCACTGAGCTCGAGACCATGGAGCCGGAGGATCCTGTAATTCCCAGAGTGGAAATACCATTTTTCTGAATAGGTAGTAAGTCTCAAAGCAGAGAAAAAACACAGACTGTAAAGTATGAAAGTGTCTCACTGGTGAGGGTTCTCATTAGATTTGGTTGAAGGGAACGATGCAGAGAGAGAAGACTCAAAATCAATGATTGTCTACATGACCATAGGCATTTTCAGAGCTTGAGGTTTGGGGGGGAAAAGGTAACGAACCAATAAAGAACGCTTAACATCTGGTGAAATGAAGCACAAGGAGAATGGTTGTGGTACCTCTGGGTAATGGATATGCCCACAGCTGTTTTTGAGGAGAAGACTGTTCTCTGGAAAAAAGTGTGTTTAAAGGTTTGAAATACTGAAATCTGAAATAAAGACAAGTGGTTTTGATGGTTACATTTCCCTAAACAAAAGAATGGCCTCATGCCTTCTTCCAAAACTGAGCTGACTTTTGTGAGTGATAGTTACTGAGGAAGCCTCAGCTATATTTTAAATAATTGTTGGTGTTTTTCTAACCAGTGCAAGTATATCATCTTGCAAAGATGCAATCATTTTGAAAATGGTGACAAGAGCAGAAATAGAGGTAGTTAAGGTCCAATGCTTGTTTCTTACAGATGTTTGTTTTGTGTCTACCTAATTTGATAGATGCTATTTTCTTTTGAATTCTAATATTTTTGTCTGACTCTTGAATTGCCTTTATTTTTAATATGTAGCAGGAACTTTTGCCTTGTAGAGAAGTATCTTCCTGAAGTAAAGTATGATTTTTATTTTCCATTCAAACATTTAGAAATTGCAACTCCTATAATGTTAAAACATTTTTGTGGCTAGTCACCAGAAAGCTCCAAGAGGTATTTGCAAGATTTATAGTGTGCTCCTATTACTTTAGAAATGATTTGATTATTTTCTAAAAATTGGGACACTATCTCCCTAGTTGTGTTTAATCTGTAGAAAAGGGGATTGAATGCTTTAGGGTTAGTTTGGGGTCTGGTCATTTGACAGATGGGGAAGCCAGATGGATGTTACATTTACCTTGTAAGAGCTGCTTTGAAAGCCATGTTGATTTAATTGGTCTTCAAAATAAATTTAAAATGCTATAAAAGATAATAAAGGAAAAGTCTTGCATTTTGTATATAACAATAGTATGTCTCTGTATGTGTTTGCATGCATGCAAATCCACCTAACAACCTTGTATACAATTTCTGTACAACTCCAAGGACAGCACTCCCTCAGCATTGAGAAGGTGCTGGGGTTAAGCAAAGTGGAAAGAGTTTGTGATAAGGAACAGATCAGCACAGTAAAGCCCCTTGGCAGTCTTGCTTTGGGCCCTTGGCAGGCTGTTCTGTCTGTCCCCAGAGCTGCTGGGCTAAGCATAAAACGAACTTCACAGCATCCTCAGCTGCCTTTCTAAGTAGCTTCTCTTTGCACACGCGTTGCACCCTAGCCCTCCTTGACAAGTTGGACCAGCAAATGTGAGGTGAGGAATGAAGCTCTGTAAACTGTCTCCTCAATAAGTTCAAAAGTGAATGTAGTTGAATGAAAAAAAAGGAAGTTAATAACCCTAAAAATTTTGGATGATTTGAATGTTAGCAAGCTTTGAAGAAGCATTGTCGAAGTGTCCGCTCTGTAGGTTATCTTCAGTAACGTAGAAGCTCAAGTTAACCTCTTTTAAGTTGCTGTGCAAGCTCTAGCAAGCCACTTCACCTCTCTGTGCCTTGGTATCTCCCTATAAAATGAGGTATGACTTCTAAGATACTTTCTAGGTTAGGAAAGTCTATGATCTCATGACAGTTCATTCTAACTTCTCACTCCTGGAAAACCCTTTAAATTGCCTAGATACTGAATGAAACGTGATATAATTGTAATCAGAAGCAAAATGTTACTAAGATTCTTTCTTTCTTCCCCTCTTTCTTCCCCTCCCTTCCTCATTCCATCCCTTCTCCCTCCTTCTCCCCCCCCCCCGTTCCTTCCTTTTTCTTTCTCTCTACCCTATCCCCTCCCTCTCTACCCTGTGCCCTGTTATCCTCTTCTCCTTACTCCCTATCTCTGTTTTTCATTAGAGAGTTCTTCTAAAGTCAAATAGAAACAAGGTTGGAATTGTCTGGTTCTTTTGCATTATTTATTTGTTTGCCACCTTCTCTTAAGAGAGGTCATTGAGGTATGTTATATACTGCTCTGTTGTGTAATACATTTACTTAGTCCTAGGCACATGTGTGCAGATGGGACTCTGAAAGCTATGGATGTGTATGTATGTGTGTATAGATTGCCCATGTTAATTTTTAAAGTAAGGTAATAGTTTATCTTATATTCTAAATTAAAGGTGATTAAGGAGGATTCATCCAAATGTATTAAACTTACAACATTTAACTTAAAAATAACACAAACAAATTCACAAATGAGAGTCTGTTTCAATGTTGTAGAGCTTGATTTTAAGAAAGGGAAAAAAAAGTATGCCAAAGGATTTCATTTTTCCCCAAGAAATGATAGTCTTGTTAAACAGTATGGAAAATAAAAGCCATAAATGATTTCATTAAGAAATATATACCTGGCAACATAATCAAGTGAGCAACTTTGTGTAATCCAAGTGAGTTACAAAAATAACTTTATCAAAATCTTTGCTTACAATGCATTTTTTGTGATCTCAGAACTGTTGATTGCTAGGTAAGTCAGTTAAAAACAACAACTGATGAGGTTACTAAACCCACCACTAATGATTCTGGAGCTTCTTGATGTGTTTATACCAGATTGTGACTAAATTTTGTTTGAACATCTTCACTACATGTAGTGGAAGAAGCTGAATTAGTTTCAGAATTGCTATTTGTAGTATAAGGATAGCAGTACTTTTTATTTCACTATTAAAATAAAAATACACATTAGCTGGATAGCTGGAAGGGTACAAAATAATTACAGGCTAATATTCTACTAAATAGTTGATAATATTTATATTATTTTTAACTAGTAATGAACCCTAAGATGGATGATAAGTGGCCATTTGATGGCAGTAATAGCTTGGTTGGTCTCTCTTTTTTATTCTAGAGCAGAGTAGTGTTATGACAGCTTTTAAATGTAAATTGGAATATTAATTTTTCTCTCATATTTTACCACAAGAAAATCTCTGTATATGTGTCTAACTATTCTGGAGTTTGAATATTAATGTTATTCCTTATTGAATTTGTAGACTGTATTTGATATGATTAATACAAAGTATAAAATTAATTTTCCAAATCTCATAAAATTGGGTAGATATCCTGGCTTTTTAGGCAGCAGGTCCTGTTGTAAGTAGAATCAGTAATGTGAAATAATTCCTCTGTTTTATACTCGTGCATCCTTCCATGACCAAAATGATTTTGTACTTGGGACTATTTCTATGCAAAAAATATAATAGTGACAGATATGTTTGATAATTTGTGGCTGTCAAATCCTTGATTATAAAGTTACTAGGCAGCTTTAGGGGCACTGCTTTTGGTTTTAAACCAGTGCGTCTAATGACTTGAGATGTTCAATTCAAAATCACTTAGTTAATAGCTCCAGTGGTTTATCAGACTGTTTTATTGTGTAGTTAAAAAGGTAAAGTTGTAAATTAGACTTAGATACAGCTTTAGGTTCTGTATGTGGTTTCACATGCCTTCACCTATACTCCAAAGTTGGAATGAGAGTCTTTCTGCATATTAGCATGAAATTTCTGTGTTGTTTCAAGGAAGGAACAGGATGATTTAAGATTGAAAGGGGCACATCAGAAGGAGCTGCAAAGGAATAAAGTATTTCTATGGTTAGATATAAAATGCAGAGTTACAGATTCTGAGGATGTGACAGAATTTAGAGAAGCTGACTGAGCCAGGCAGTTGGCAAAGGGGACTAAAGGAGACAGATTTAAGGCTTGC